TACCACGTCTGCTTCTTACACCAGTCCTGTAAGACAAACAGTATTTTGCTTTCTTGTCTTACAGATGAAGAAGTTAAGAGATACTGAGGTTAAGACGAGTGGCCACGTAGGCCTCTCAGCAGAGACTGAGAGCAGTGGCCAGAGGAAAGGAGAGGTAGATTCTCCAGGGAGACAGGGATCCCAGTAGCTGTGCGCTGTGATCTCCCTGCAGATCCATGCTCTATGCCAAAGGACGTCGGCCCCTGCTTGGCCTACCTTCCCCGCTGGTGGTATGATAAAGAAACGGACCTCTGCTCGCAGTTCATCTATGGTGGTTGCCTTGGGAATCCTAACAACTTCCCATCAGAATCTGTCTGCAAGGTCATCTGCAAAAAAAGATGTAAGTCTCCAACTCCCATGCTTATCAGGGCCATACAATAATTCCAAGGTTCTCAGACCTTGTGTGCCTGGAGTTGATGGAACCAGCTCCAATCAGGAGCTACGAATGCACTTTGCAGAGCTGTAAGTACAAAGACATTTTGGGAAAGAGAAGGCAGAAAGGGAGGCTGCAGCCAAAGAGAAATCAGCAAGCTTGTGGTGAGTAGGAGGTGCAGGCAAACCCAAAGACTTACCTCACTTTGGTGTTCATTTCCTGCCAAAAGACATCAAAATAATCTCATCTTGTCTTTTCCACTGTAAGGAATCTGTAAGATTTGGTTCCTAAGGTAATCAGGATCCAAACAGCACACCCTTTATTCTGCTATCTTACAGACACTATGATACACTAAGGAGGAGCTGGAATGATCTCCAGGATTTGGCTCAGAATTTGGGGCTATTTCCATGTGTGCCTGACCAGTGCTCCGTGGCAGCTTCCACTGACCAAATTTGAGCCACTTTGGCCTCTGCTGTTCCACAGACTGAGCCCCAGAATTTGCTTACTTTCCATGCTCCAGCTCATCTTCTCTATGAACATTGTGCTCTTCACCTCCTACCCTTTCTCAGTGTGAGTCCCTATCTCTTTAACTTTCAGAAAGTCCATTTATTCCCATAATGGTCACAGGTCCACCTAATAAACTATTTTGCAGGGTCTGATATTTCTGAGTCTGAAATAATTTGTGCCAATAATGTGCAGAGAGTCAGTCCTAGTCACATTTCTCAATATGCAATTTTGAAAGAATAAGAGGTCATTGGGTTTTCCAGAAACAACAAAAGAAGGAGTAAGAATATCCTAACAGCATTATGCAGGAGAAAAAAATTATAAGATTCTTAAGAACAGGGCCAATGTATACTCAGGTTTTGTTTGATTTAAACATTATCAACTAGGAGCTTCTTTAAAGGCTGAATCTAAATGCTATGTAAAGGAGAATATTTCAAATAAGAAAGGAAGTCACAATCAACTATAAATTTTTAAATGTTGTCAGATATCACAACTTTGCAGAAAATCCATAAAATAAATTATTAATCCATATTTTACATTTGCAATATCAGTTCTAGAAAACTCAACTTCTATGGAGAGAATGGAAAATAATTCACTTTTGCATTTGACATAACATTAAAATATGGTTTTATTTTGATTGAGATCATAGTTGTGATACAGTCAGCAAACACCTAACTGCAAAGCCATGCTTTATGTTTGTAGTTCTATTGGTTGGTTTGTGTAGTAAGATCACAGGAATTTAATAATTTCTTTCGTGTAAAATTCCTTCAAAACAGAAAATATTCATAGTATATTTAAAATATATTAAAATATTGAATTATCAAAGATATTCTTCCTGGTAAAGAACTTCTGAATAAGTTTCCATAAGAACTACAATTTTTAAATATAATTTTATGTATCTGGTATTTAAAAGACCTTTCTAGAGATTTGTTTTTCTGCATTCATACTTTCTTTTTCTGGTCTTTTTTTTTTTCTTTTCTTTTTTTGTGGTACTGGGGATTGAACTCAGGACCCTGTGCTTGCCAGGCAGGTGCTTATTCTACTGAGCTATCTCCCTGGCTCCTGGATCCATACATTTTAAAACACATTTATTTTTCTCTTTCTTTCTTTCTTTCTTTCTTTCTTTCTTTCTTTCTTTCTTTCTTTCTTTCTTTCTTTCTTTCTTTCTTTCT